TAGGGGGAATTTCTATGGATATCAGTTCGCGTTCACCTATTTCCATGACCTCACGTAACCTATTGCGTATGCAAATGTCGGCTGTGAATTTCATGGGCTGACAATGATCTCAATGTAAGTAGACACACCAGTTGATAGAATGAAAGACACGCCTGTGTACCAGAATACAAGAACACTCTCTCGCTCTCTCTCTTCCCATCTCTCTCTCTACTTCTGTCTTCCGTTCTTTCTTTCTTCTTTCTCACTGAAATCAAGTAATATCTTTTTGTCTATTTCCACGTGATTAAAACGCAGAACAATTCATTATTTAGGAGGTATTGGCAGGGCATAACGGTCGTGCAAACTAACGATGAGAGGAATGACCCAATTATAAAAGGATTGTATTGGTATTGTAATTGTATTGGTATTGTAATTGTATTGGTATTGTTATAGTGTTGTTATTCTTTCATCAAAACAATCACTTCAGAACGAACTAAAACAAAAGTTTACCAGCTGTTGTATTCTGTATATATATATATATATATATATATATATATATATATATATATATATATATATATATATATAGGTAAGTTCATGAGATCGATAAAGAAATAGCATAGCATGAATAAAAGTCCTTAAACTTGATGAAAATAATTTTTTACTGCCTAAATGTTTATGTTATTATCAAGAGGAAAGATCAAAGTATTTTTGAATATTTTTTACATTTTTTAATCATTTCTAGAGTTTTCAAAAATTATTTATGGGGCGGGGGTAATATATATATATATATATATATATATATATATATATATATATATATATATAGGCAGCAATCCTTCGTTTATGCATGTTTCATTAAAAACGACAGACAAGGTACTACGGTTGAGCTTTTTATTTAATTTTTCTTGTGTTCGAACAAGAGCTTTCTTTTCTGGACAAAGGGTGAGTAAGAACTGTCCAAATGTTTTATATTTCCGAGCGCTTTCGGCTATACCTTGAGCCATCATCAAGGATGATTTGATTTTTCTGCTTAATTGAGTGAGTGCATTATGTGTATGTATTAGTGTGTAGTAGGGATGTTTTAATTTCCAAACATGGTTAGCTCGTTGTGGCCTTGTTCGTAGTTAATATTGTTAAGAGTTGGCCTTTTCTTTTTTATTATTAAAGCTTCCATTATTTTTAGTCTTTTTTTACAGGTGGATGCAGTTAATATATTTGTGTTTTCTACTAGTATATTTCTAATGAAGTCTGGTAAATTTGTGTGTGTGTTTAAATGGGTTCTAATGGAGCTGTGATCAGATAGGTGTAATGTAAGACGTCTGGATAAGCATGTAGTTGTGTTACCGATGTAATTATTTATGAGTCCGGTTTGATCAGGGACACAGTTCCTTAAGGGGCATTTATATAAATATTTTTATCATGACTTAAAGAATATAACATATTTATAATAATTTTCATTATTCGTAAATAGTTTCTGAAAGTTTGATTAAAATCCGACAATTATTTCTATTTTTGCAAGATTTTCAAAATTAATGTTTGTCATTAAAAAAAAATGAACAAAAATTTGTTATTTAATACTTCCGCCGACGAAGAGAAACAAAGGTTTTTTTTTAATCAAAAGGTAGAATGTTCTAAAAAGAAGAAAATTTTTTTTTAAAAATAATTAAAAAATGCTTGGTTCTTTCCTCTTAATAATAACATAAACCTTTTCATAATAAAATTTTGTTTTCGTCAAGTTTACGTCCATTTTTATCATGCTATGCTCATTTTCCATCGATCTCATGGAGGTATCTATATATATATATCACCTCTTAACTTTTGGCAACAGGTTCTGCTATAAGACTATTTGAATCGTTTTGTGCTACTGTCTGGAGCACCTCTTCATCTTCAAATGGAGTCTGACCAATTTCAATCTTTACATCCTATACTATACAGAAACATCCAAAGTTTTCATTACATTCAGTCTCATTCTTCTCAAGGTCAGTTAACCACTTCTTCAATTTGATTTGTCTGACCTGATCATTGCTCCTTGACTCCTATTCAGTCCCATCTTTGGGCTCAAATTATTTCCAGATCTTTCCTATTCGATTTCTATATCCTTGTTTTTGGCATAACATTCAGTCAGCAATCTGTTGTCCGCTTTTGCCCATGCAGCTCTTGTGCTAATTTTTGCATCATTGGGCAACTCGATTTCCCTAGTTACAGGAGTGTTGTCCATTATTCCTGCACGCGAACACTTCTACCCTGTCCTGATCCGTTACGTCTGTAATTTATCTGGTCTTCATGAAGTTAAGTTGGTTTTGTTTTCTCGGATTTTTTTTTAAAGTTTCACTCTTATTAGTTAATGTTTATTGTGATTCCAAAATTAGATGATGCCTGGTATCTTCACGTTGTCTTGAGAAGCAGAAAGGTTACTGGAAATAGTTACGAATGCGCCAACCGCTAAAGAGAAAACTTGAGCTGCTACTTGGTTTAATTCTCCGATTTGCCGTGCCGGATCTTCGTAATTCTCTACTTT